CACTCCACACTGTCGTTATCACCCCCTTCGCCCTTGTGATGGGAATTGTGACCAGAGTCTGTAATATTGTCGGCGAAACGTTTTGGAATGTACCGCGTCCACGGTCCGAATTTGGAAATAATTATGCATAAAATGGACTCAGGACAAGGTGCGTTTCCTATAAGTCTTCCTACCAATATGCATAAAATGGACTGAGGACAAGGTGCGTTTCCTATAAGTCTTCCTACCAATATGACCAAGTTGCGAAAACAAGGTCAAACAACTCGACAAGGTGCGTTTCTATCAGTCTTCCTACCATTATGACCAAGTTGCGAAAACAAGGTCAAACAACTTCTTATCACAATCCCTGAGTAAATTGATGTGAATGAGCTTTTTGTTTCAAGGGAAAAAATGAGTGGAAGGGAGTCGCAGATCGGCCCTACTCGAAACCAAAGGACTGGCATTAGATTGTGGTGAAGATTAGATATTAAGAGAAGCCTTGTGATTTATAACCATCCATGCTGATCCTTCGTCTATCTCACCATGACAGTGATCGCTAGAGCTGTGGTCATCCTGGGTCGTCAGAAAATTCCCAATCAGTCCTTCACCACCTTAAGCAACCTAAACTGACTAAAGCTTTTACTAGAGGTAAATAAAATTTGCCGAACAAGCAAGAAACGAAAGATCAAAGCATGACTGGTTCGTATCTGGAGTTTCCGACTGTGTCCAGAGAAGGACAGGTTGAGAAGTTTAAGAGATAGTAAAGGGCCATTGCTGGACGGATAAGAGGGCCAGACAAAACTAGCCTCCGTTTGATAAATAATAGCGTTAATCCCCTGAAATTAACAGATCGGGGAAGAATATCAAAGCTCCGATTGAGCTTTTGAGAACTAATTAAAGGATAAGCTTCTTTGTGATCAAGGAAGAGCAATCTTTTAACGGAATTAGCAAAATCGCTGCAAAATTTATGGTTTAAAAATAATTAGCATCAGTTGTGTAGGAAATGCTCAAATTCTAGAAATAGAAACACTCACCGCAGCTGAAGGTCGTAGAGAATGGGTACTTCTTGAGAGATGAGTAGAATCTTTGAGATAATGTTCAGGAAAGATTGTAAGAAAAATTTGAAGGTGAAAGGAATAAGATTGGAAGATTAAGATTAAAATAGGGAATAGCGAAAAAATGGTTGAGATGAACGAGTCCTAGTATGTACAGTGTGGTTATTCCATTTGGCCAAAAAGGCTGTGGGGATAACTACTGGCAGTTAGAGAAAAGGTCACCGAAATGGGCCAGTAAAGTAAACCGAATACTTTAGGTAAAGAAGCCTTGACAAAGATCTACGGGAAATCAAAATGACACAAATAAACGGGAAGGCTAATGTATGGGTATGTGTAAATGCTTGCCAGAATGCGTGAGCGGAGTGATGTATATAGATTGAAGGAACACAACTATACGAGAGAGCAGCACTTAAGTCGATCAAGGGGCTGTTTGATCTTCACGCGCTCCACCTGCTGCAGGCCGAGTGAATCTTGTAGTGTCCCAGAGTTGGGCTGTATCAAATGAGTGGTCACCTCACAAGTGATTGGCCCACCATTGCTGGACGCCGAGATATGTGGGATGCCATTGAGACCAGTATCGCCCTTGGGTTCCAGTTGTGATGAGCCAGGAGCATCGGGTACGTCAAGTTCGTGGTCACCGGAGCTGAGGTTGGCACCCAGAGGCAACTTAACGTCGAGCGAGATGGACTGGTCATTACGAACCAGAGAGGGATCATTGATTATCAACTGAGGTTTGTAGAGGAAAAGATTTATTAAATTCAATTCAGTATGAGCAATAAATATCACAACAAAGAGATGAACAAATGAGGTACTGAGGAAAGTTATGTACTGGAAAGCACAGACACAAATAAGAAATCAGAAAGATAGATTTGGGGTAATAAATTATAGCAAGAGGGCTGGGTGGAGGAGTAAATGAAAAGAAACAAACGTACAGGTAGGTTGTATAGATTGACAACTGAGCAAACTATACTTTGCCAATAAAGCCAGTAAAGTAAATGACATAAGATAAAAAGCACAAAGCTAAAGCAGTATATGGAAATAAAAAAGTAAGATTTATAAAAGATTAGAATAGTCTAAATGCACACAAGAAATAACTCACTTTACATTGTTGGTTCGACCCCGTTTTGGCAACTTGGTAGGAGCGTCAGGGGGACCATGTGAAACGTACCTAGTCCCCTGTCATCTGTCATAGTATTAGTGATTTATAGCATCGATCCATTGACTTGGTACATTCCCAAACGTTTCACCGGCATCGTAAGCACACAGTTACAAATTGTCAGTGACAAGTGAAGGCAATCCACTCAACCAATTTTCTGTTCCACCTTCTAGTGCCGCATATTTTTCTTTCAATCAAATTTCATATGGCCCATCCATTTATTCACACAATTCTGTGCTCTCATTAACTCCAAGAGAGTGTGTTTAGTGAAGCGTAATCATCCCCACCACCGGTACCAGATGCGCTTCATGGCTCCTGACCAACATTCTGCCCCCTTTTTTTCTACCAGCTTGTCAATAGGTCACTGCAAAGCATCGAAATCATTGTCTGGCTGTCTGAAATATGGCTGCCTAAGAGCCTTCAATTTCCGTCCTCGATTATGCCATTTAGAGCAGATGATGTTCATGTCGATGCCAGTACCTGGGAATCTTCCTCTCCCTATACTTTAAACACATGACTCGGTTATCCTCTCCCTCATCCCCACCCACAATGTACCTCATTCTTTGGGGTGTTGTGTCCGGCTTAAGTCGTAACCGCTAGTGCGAAAGTGCACTGCTTCATTTTTTCCCCTGTGAATCGTGGAAAGAACATTCTTCTAGTCCTTCAGATGAACACTCCCATCTAATTCTAGAGTACTACGATACTCATGTGTTTGTTGGCTGGTATCCCCTTAGTCAAGCCTGTCACTAGTCACCTTCCCTTCATGCACACGAAAAATGCACATAAGCACCCCCAACACACACTCACGTTTGGGAATGTACCAAGTCAATGGTCCGAAGCTGGAAATCACGAATACTATGGCAGAGGACATGGGACTAGGAATGTTCCACAAGGTCGTCCTGATGGTTCGACAAAGTTGAGAAAACAGGATGAAACTAACACTATAAAGATAAGAAGAATCCACTTGAGATTTATTGAAGGAGTTCGTAGAAAGGGTAAAATATGCATATGCTAAAGAAAGTTGACTAACTGGTAATGGCTATGTGAGATGGACACACATATCAGACGGTATAAATTGAGCAAATGGAACAAAAACAATCAGTTGAATAACATGCATTCATCTCGTTACAGCATTTCCTTTGAGAACGATCAAATGGCACTAGTGATGAAGATGCAGGCAGCAAGGCCTGAAAAGGTAAATAGATTGTTTGGGCTAATATCAATCTAACATTATGGAGAGAGTTCTTTCGTAAAGAGGACCACAACCAGAGTGTATAGGGCTAATTTTCCGCGAATTGCTGGCTAGGTCTCGGAAATTGAATTATTCTGGTCTAAAATTAGGGGGGAAATTACCAGGACTATAGAATGGATAAGTTCCATTGGGGCGAAGCAATGCCATTGACAAGCAAGTGTGCCTAGAAATTCTAACTTGTGCTAAACATTCTTGGAAAAAGTCGCCACCAGATTTGCTTTATCACCCTCAGTGGTATTGCATTTGGGCTATTATCTCAAGACAACTAAGAAAAGTCGTGTCTGACCAACATCATAACACATCACCTCGTCCAGAGTGTGCCTTTTCAGACCTCGGCTATCTCAGGAACGCAAGTTCATACAATAAACATGCTTTGTGCTGATGGCACGTGAACTAACCAAGGCCAAATGATAGGGGTGAATAGATACAGATACGTTTGTGGGTTGGCACACAAGAGACTATGGCATGTAAAGTCATAGATTTGGTATTAGAGATAGAGACAGGATAGACGCGCCGGCGATGGGAGCTAGTGGGTGACAGTAGGTTTTATAAGAGATGTGGTCCATGTGGCAAAAGCCTGACCATGACACTTACTCATAGGCTTTATCTTCGAATTAGTCACCCAGACGAAGGGTAGGGTCAATAACGCCTCGAGTGGCACAGATGGAGTGGCAGAGGTCGAGCGAAATATGTGAACCAGGGAGAGGGCAGACGGATGTTACAGGGCAAGAGAGACTGTGGTAAGACCTAGGAAAAGAGGACTGCGTAACAATATGGCAGACTATGATCCACATTCCCAGCACGAGGATGAAGTGGGGTGAGGGCCAGCGTAGAGTACGGAGGGTTCTCAAGAAAGCCGCTAAGAAGGGCACACCGTACCACATTTAATTAAGCAAGTAAAA